TTTTTCTGTTAAAAAATATATACAATTTGTAGTTTTTCTCTCTATTAAACTACATAACTAACCAAAATAGAAAGTTGTTTATTTTCTAAGACTATGCTTTCTACGACGTCCGCTTAGTATGACGTGTTTGTCATTTTCCTTCGATATCATTATAAGCGGATTCTACTGTAAAAGGATGATTTTTTTAAAAGACTTAAGTACGTATAAACAAGAGTGTGTTACGGTGAGTGTAATTAACTAGTGATTATTAACATTATTGCATTTTATTACGTTTAAAAAAAAGATGCGGAACGAATGGTTACACGGTTCTCGTGTTAGTAACTGAAACGTGCACCAAAGCAATAAAGATAATCATAAATTATTACAATTTTCCCCGCCTTTTTAACGAATTACTCACACAAAAAGACGCATGTTTTTTACCTTTAGAACTCCTGTATTGTTTGAGTCGGGGACAGGAAAAATGACCCATAAACCATTGTCATCGACACTAAAATCCATGTAATTATATTTTGAACTGTAGAGATAATTACTGTTGGCTTTTGCCAACGGTATTTCTACCGTAGATGTAATTTCTCGTTCCAAATCGAGTCTTACTATCCTTGACGTATTTCTTTCGTTATAGAAAAAGGACCCGTTAACAATAACGTGAGCGTTTCCTTGAAATGGCTGTACCAGGTTGAACTCTCTACAAAAATTTCAAAATTGCTATATTTAAATGGTCTACATATATTAAAAAATATTTCGTTGCGCCTAAATGCTAAATTTTAATTTCTGATTAATTTATAATAAAAATAATCTGCGAGATTAAATTATTACCTCGTAGGTGTATATTTTCTAAATGCATTTTTGTTGTCGTACTGGAATAATTTGGTAGTCTCGTTTTCTTTCGTGGTCCAAATTTTTTCAGAATCGTTTTCGTAAAGAGGATTAGGATCTTTCATCCAAGAACCGTAGGTTTCGTCCAGAAAACGATGATATACAGGTTTTCCGACAGCATAAAGTAAACAATCTAAAAATAGATGTGAACTATATAGACCTACTTTATAAAGACCCAAATGCTTATTTAGAGTTTATTCAGTCATCTTCGAAGAGTTCAGATAGAAAATAGTGTTTATTACTATATTTATAAATGTTCGTTTAAAACTGCAAGTCGGATTTTCAAAAGTTTATATTATTAAAACGCCCTTGTAGATCGTCACGATAGGGACCAACCAAAGCGAAACAGTACCTAATCATCTTAAGATGATCAGACCAAAGTCCGAAGACTGGTTGGATACACACCTCCAAGTCCTTTTTATCTTGAACACAATATAAAGGAACTCGATACAGTAGGCAGAAGGGTCACTCCTTTGATCTAATTTAAAATGGTCGGCGTTTTTTGTAGGAGGTCATAAATCAACTTTATATGCGTTGAACTGCTATACCAAAGTGTATAGACATACTGTTGGAGCAGGACAGTCGGTGTATAACTTATCCTAGCTTCTGATGTACGCCAACTTAATATTGTACAGCTAGTTGGTGATTTTTCCTTTAATAAATTTTACACCCTTTTTTTTACTATTTAAGGATCGAGACTATTCACAATTAAAAATATGTACAACTAACTTTTCTGACTTATATTTAGTTATTATGTTAGAAAACTATGCTTCGCGTCCGCTGCAATCCTACCTGACATCTCTTTCTATGTTACGATATTCCCTACAACGTCTGTCATGAGTAAACGTAGGCGTTCTGTCAGCAACTAATCTAGTCCAGTCAATAAGTTGAAAGAAGAATGTAAATGTAACCGTTTTATTGCGGACTATGCCAATTTTGAATGTCTCAACTATATCTGGCTAAACCGCCGTGCAAAGACGCTAAGCAAGCAAGAATTTAGTAATTAGTGATGTCAGTGGTTTACCGAGTGTTCTGTTGGGAAGTCCCGCGTATCGTTCTCCCCCATACGGCCTTACTTCCCACCGTCTTATAATATCAAATAGAGAGACTCCAAACTCTTTATTGCATTTGAACTCTCTTGTGTCAACGCATTCGTCGCATTTAGGTGGCGGAGGACAGAGTTCTTCTAATGACGTTAGAGCAGGCGATGGCATTCCAAACACAATCATATGATTGTTGCCCACGATGGGCGGTGGAGTGCCCAGTCGAGGATCCTTCTCTGTAGTACATGAAAATATTTTACTCATTAGATTTTTTAAGCGATGATTTTGTGCATCGTATTAAAAAATTTTTAATTTAACTACATCCTTCGTAAAAACTTAACTTCCAAAAACGCACCAGTAAAAATATTTATTTTATCTTGTCGTATTTAATATTTGTTCAGACACGGCAAAATTCGCTTGTTTGCAAAAAATATACAATGTTCGAAAAATTCGTCGTAAGCGTGACGTTATTCACTGGTCCAGACGATTAAAGTATTTGTGAATGATTATTTTATTTACGGTAACACAGGCCCAAAATCGAGCAGAATGTTCTAGTGGCCTAGATCATAGCTCAGGATGTCATCTGGACTCTGGGTCCGCCTGCCCTAGTGGATTATTTAAGAAAATTTTGAGATAGTAATATTGCGTAGCAAATAATATTTCACTTCCCTTTTGTTTTCATTTCGTCCTTCCCATCCTTCTCTTCCCCATCGCCACCCACCCATACCTTTAAGAAGGCGGAATAAGACTAACGCGGTTTGCATCCTCACAAATTCCGCCGTGTTTGAACTAGCCCTTAATGAGTTACCGTAGAGTGTAAAGACTCCTCTGGTTAGTCCTCTTTCATTTTTAGCAACACAGAGGTACGTGGTGATGTCGTACGAATTAATTCGGGTAATATTTAATTGCATAGTAGCTTTATATCCGTTTTTATCGCTATAAGTTGCAATGCGATATTTGCTACCGTGTTCGAGGAGTTTGCCATCAGCCCTTTCCCAATATCTGCAAACAAATATTTAAAAGGAACTGCATTACTTTTCTAAAAGGACTTTTAATTCTATAATGAAAACTACGTTCTTAGGCTTTCACGGTCGCGTGTAGTCGAAGGTCGATGCGATTTTCGTTTCGCGATCTTTGCTGACGGAACCTTCAGTAGTGACATTATTAAGTCGTGATATCAATGAAGGATAGAGAAACGTTAGTACCATAAAATTCTATGAAAATATTTTTTAACGAGTTATTACCTACTGTTTAGTTGAGTTTTTGGATGCTTTACTAGGAAAATAACTAAAATGGTATCTTCGGGTGGTGATTTATCGGAACTGCTTATGGCGTGCTAATGAGGTCTAATAATTTTAAAATCGCGATCCACGACCGATAGTTTCGATGAATTATTAATCAAAAACTTATATTGTTCTTAAAAATTTAAAAAAGTTATTTCAACTTTAGAGTAATATTTTCTCCTAGAAAATAGACTAAAATCAGCCCGTGTCAGAACAGTTTCTTTATTAAACAATTTTAATANTATTGCTAAAGTTCGAAAGCTAATAAACTAACAAAGTGTTATCCTGATGACGAAGCAAATGCATGAGATTTTTTTTATAGAAAATTTTATGCTCTTTTCAGTGGCTTCGTTCTCTTTATTAGTGTTATAATTTCAAAAATCTTTAAAAGTTGATTACTTAAATTTCCATATTTTCTTTTTCTCAATCGCCAAGCATAAGCTAACCGTGTTTTTATTATATACAATAATAATAACAGGGAAAAGGAGTTTTTGCATGTAGGCTACCAAATTTGACTGAAGGTACCATTTTTTAGAATGACCACCAAAAAATTGTAATTATTTCGTTTAGAAGTAGTTAAGCTAAAGTAAAATTACCATCTTCTGCGACATGCGGATGTGACGAGTGATGAACTACCAACGGTATAATGTCTCTGATATCTTTTCTTTCTTCGCATTCTAATGTTGTTGCATTGATTTTATGTGCGTAAACGGTTTCTGATATTGAATAAATTTCATCTTGAAAAGGATAAATCGATATATTTGAATTATCGGTGAGAAATCGTTCAGGATTGAAGAAAGTGGTCAACCTATAAAAAAATCTTATATCTGTGAATGGATAATCAAAAAACAAGTCTTGTTTTTAAATTAAATGGAGCAGTTTCATAAATTAATTTTAAAAAGTAACCAGTTAGGAGCTAGGCGCTAGGGTGTTGTCCATAAACCGTATGGCTTTCTTAGGGGGAGGGGTCGGCTAAATGGCTATTCTGAACCATATGCGGGGTAGGGGTTGATACTGGTACCGGTTGTTCAAAAAATTGCCAAAATAAAGTCATATCTTTGGTTTATAGATAGCCACAGGCCCATACTTGCAATTTCATAAAAATAAATTATTTGGAGCCACTCCGGGGTTATAGGACATATGCTCGGAAAATGACCCAGTTTTAAATTATCTAATCGAAAATATAACATTTGGGTTCTTGTTTTTTATTGTTTATTACTTATGCCTTTTTATTTTGAAATTATCGTGATCAGAATTCGCCTGAACGTTTCTACACATGGTCAATAACAATATTTTTACAAATTAAATTATTTATTATGCAGTAGAACTTCATCTCAAGATTCTAATAATTGTGCACTAATATTATCAAAGTTATTATATACTTTTCAAAGTTCTGTGTGTATTATGAAGGACCCTCAGTGGGTGAACCGACCCGCATTGGATTAGTTTTTTTTAATTCTAGAGATTTAAGACCATTTAAATGTTTTTTTTATTTCAAGACACCTACTAAAATTTTTGTACTTAGCCAACAATTAATTAATTTAGATTTTGTGGGCTTAGAACTAGATTATCACCGTTTTAACAAATTGTGACAAGGATCTGGAACCGCTTGAGTTCCGAATTCATTAAAAACAATCCTTTTTGCTTCCCAGTTTTTTTTATACGCCTCTGAACGTATGAAACGGCATTGATAAGTTACATTTCCATCTTTTATTCTGTATCTGTAAGAAAGAATTGTCCTTAATTTAAGTCAGAAAATTGACGAATAAAATGACTTTTTATTAAAATATGTTTTTACAACCTGATAAAATGCATTAAAATTACACTTCTACAACCTGTGTAGTAGTGCGGATCCATCAAACAGGTGTTTAAATTCGTGCTTTCCAAACTTTAGATTTCCGGGGCCATTTCTTATCAGAGTTCCGTTTAACCATTCTGGAATCTTACCTTAACAATTTACAATAGAAATAATTGGTACGTGTAGACATTCATGTACACACGGTAAAAGTTATACTTCTATCAGTAGGATAAGGTAATGTAATGATTTTTCACAATTTTTGAGTTTAAAATACAAAGAAATTCTTTCTCAGTTTTTACCGACTTTACATTACTACACAAATTAAATGATAGCGTCCTCTGGGTTAAAGTACTCCGGACGTAAACTAGTCCCCCATTTGAATGTCCGGGCGAGGACTACCTCAGGGGATGTCATCAATAAGTGCAATAGGGGCAGGTGTAGTATTTCATAAGTCGGAGCTTGGAATGTTAGGACAATGAGGCAAGTAGGGAAATTGGAAAATTAGATATAGCAGACATTAGTGAAGTCCGTTGGCCCGAAGCTGGAGTGGAGACTTTATATAGAGGATTGGTGGAAGGTAATTCGGGGGTAAGAATTGTAACGCGTAAGAAAGCAGGGCAGAGTGTAGAATGTTATTTACAAAAAAGCGATAGGATAGTTATGGTTAAATTAAACTCAAAGCCGGTAAGAACGGTATTAGTGCAGGTCTACATGCCTACATCATCTTACCATGATGAAGACATAGAAGCGGTTTATGCAGATATCGAAGACGTGTTAAGTTTAGTGGGAGAGCAGGAAACCTTAATAGTTGTAGGAGACTTCAACGGACTAAAAGGTGAAGGTAAAGTCGTGCAATAGCAGGTTCTTTTGGATTAGACAATAAAATTGATAGGGGGGATAGACTGATACAATTTTGCGATAAACATAACTTAACCGTCGCGAATACTTTATTCAACCATCACGTTATGAGGCGCTATACGTGGAAGATGCCAGATGATTTAGGGAGATATCAGTAAGATCACATACTTGTTGGCAAAGATTTAAAAAACAAATGAAGGACTGTAGGAGTTATCCAGGAGCAGATATAGATAGCGATCATAACTTATGAAGGCCAATCTTAAATTGAAAATTCTGAAATTCGGCGAATAATAAGGATATCGTGGATAGAGAAGGTTAGAAATAAAGAGGTATTAAAAAGAATAGAGAACAGAGGACTCTATGGAAGTCAATAAGAAATAGTCGTTTTAAGTATTATTTAAATTTTTAAACTTTTAAATGATCTAATTAATAAATGCAATATGTCTTGAAAATAAAAATGAACAAAACATAATTGCTAACAGATTATTCTTCGAAATTTAAAGAAATTTTATTAAGTAGATATGTTGATATTGTACTTACCACCAATTTTACCATTTATGGGAGTTGATATTTCTTGTTCGCAACTTCTGAGGAAGACGCTAAAGTCTGTATGAGGATAAAGCTTCAGTGTATTATCCTACGCGAAAAAAATATAAGATTCTTGTATCGAATAGAAAATATTTGTCCAATTTTAATTGCTTTTACAAAAAAGCTGAAGACTTTTAATAACAATGGTTCACTGATTTAGCTTAAGGTATAATACGAATAAAACTTTTTTTGCGTGTAGGTAGATATGTTACGGGATTTGTTCGGATTAGCGAATTAGCGGATGATTCCCGGTTTCAAATTTTTGTTTTTAATTTATACCTACTACCCAAACTATTGAAGGCGGTTATTATATATTACAAGTCACTAAATTAAATTATTCTAATATTGCGTAAAGAATTTTAGAACTGACGAAAACGCAAAGGTAAAACCAATTTTATATTCTCTTCTAAGAAGGGAATGGAAAAAAAGTGATAAAATCACCCTGAATTGATTCGAAAAATATATTTAAGTTTACTTACATCTTTAAGGACTTTTTGGTTTCCTTCGATCCCTTTTTTGAAACTGGTTGAGAATGACATGACTTCACCTACCACAAACAGAGTTAGAAATGCTTCGGCGCAATATAAAATACAAATTGCTCTTCAGGTTGGTTTCCTTTAAGGTTAATCTCTAAATTAGTCCTTGGTTTTTATTGATTAATAGTATGATGTAACGTATTCAATGTTCAATGTCGCATGCCTAAGAAGATTAACCTTCATTACTTACTACGTACAGTAACTGTAACACTACTTAAATTAATTCAATAATTATTCATGTTTATGAAATCAAAAGCCTGATGAAATGGAGCAAGCAAAACTTTATTGGTAGTGATTATATCGCATTTACTTTTAAGGATATAAATATTTTACGTTTGCTTAATTAACTTAAAAATGTTTTCACCGAATTATTGGTATAGTTCTCCAAATATATTTTAATCTGATATTTTTAAATTTGTTTCTTTACAATTAATTCGCATTCAAAAATTGTTGGCATATTACCATACAAAATTCCGCAAACATTTTTACTACACATCATGTTTTTTATAGATGTTTAAACGTTAAATAATAGTAGATCGAATATTTGGGAGTTTTTTCTTAATTCAGAAATTTTTAGTAATCTTTTTATCATTTAAAAATTGTGATATCTTTCCAAATTTTTGCTGATTACGGTCCTGTATTTTGCGTTTAACCCATGTAGGAAATTACGACAGGACCATGCTTGAGATTGGCAGGATTGGCAACCAATATTGAATTAAGCATGGTAAATGCCTGGTTTGTCATTTCGGCTCAAACATGATTGTCAAGCTTGGTCCACGATTGTACAGCCAATGTTGAACCGTACTAACCCCGAGATTGACAACCAATATTGGATTATGCACTTGAAGATTGGCTGAACTGTGGATTAGTATTGATAAGCCAATGGCTGCATCAGTATTGCACCAAACTTGACGAAACGTTAATGTGCTTAGCTTTGGCATTTGAAAATTAGTCGAGTTTTGGTTCAGTATCGACAAGCCTTTGCTTGGTTTTCTTACTACTGGTCCAGGTTTGGGTCTGTAGGCAGGGAGATATAATTTATCATCATCATAGAGTCGTCTTCCTGAGTCAATTTTCGCATTTTGTGACCAGTTGAGCAGTACCTAATCTAACGTGGGTCTTCCTCTGTGGCACAATACACCTGTTTTTGTTCTAATATATTTCTAATTCATGTCTCAGAAGATGTCCTATCAACTTACAATTTCCTCGTACAGGATAATTTGTAACTATAATCTAAAATATAAAATGAATTTCACAGTTATCGTTAAATGTATCGATTAATTACATGCTTGGCGTATTTAAAATCCCTTTAGATTTTACCTATAGGTATATATATGTCGTTATAATACTATTTTTAAATAAGTTTATAGATGTGTTATTTTTCTAACGGTTTATATTCTGTTCTGGAATTAACAAATTTATTATATAACGTTTACTTTACATTAAAACACTAATGTTCCCTTTTTTAACAGATTTGAAGTGAGAAGTTGAAGCATCCTGAGAGCGATAAGAGATCTGAATTAAGGGTGAGTTTGAATTTGTGATTATTGTAACTAATTATTGTACATAACAAGTAATTTACTTAAATGCACAAACGCATTATATGTATGGTTAATTCCTGCAAAATTTGGACAAATGCATATTCTTGTCAATGATCCATCCATAGCACTTACATTTTAATTGTAGTGATCTCCCATACCATAATCTAATCTAAGGTCTTGGTTTATATCATTTATTCCTGATACATTCCCCACCATAATTTAACTTAAACCTTTGATAAATAGCACTTATTATTAGAGTATACAATTTCATTCGTTGCGCCAAATACGTCAATCAGAGAAACATACGAATATCATCTTTTAATTTGACGTTCAAATGGTCAGCTAGTTGTGGAATATTGTAATATCAGACGAGCTAGCTACATTGAATTGCGTTACAGACCTACCCACTTAGAACCATATCCACGAGGAACATTGTAGTGAATTGTCTAATAATCGGTTACTTATATTTATCAGCATAGATTTATCTCACTCTTTAGTTCTCTCGTTGCACTAACTCCTTTATGACGAGAGGTCAATTTTTTATATGATTGTAGAATATGCCCGATTATTTCTGGAAACTTCGAGTAAATTCCGTGTGTTCTGCCAATCCTTACAGCAGTATAATTCATGGTGTGCCGCGGCCGCTTTTCGGGCACTTCAAAGGTGCTAGTTATCGATTACCTGCGGCATTCGTTTATAACGTTATTGTTGAGTAATTTAACTTATAAAATTAATTTTGTAGGAAATTTTAGTACGTGTGATGAATATAAATATTATTTTACCCATAATTAGTTAGAAAAAAAGCGTCAATTTTGTTATAACACTTTCATAAGGATATTTCAAAAAAATAATTTATTTTTTATTGATTATCAGGAATCTATATTTTAGCAAAAGTGATGGAAGGTACTGAAGCATATTTTTTTTATATAACAAATAGTTTTATATTACCTACGAAGTATGCAAATAAACAAAATTTTACAGAGTTAACGGTAAATATCTGCATATGTTGATATACTTGATATACCGGTCACTTGATGAAATGCACAAAACCAAAGGTAACAACAAAGAAAAATGCACATAATTTTATTTTACTCTATTTTTTTTGATTAACGAAATAAATTNAATACCGAATATCGAGCACTATTCAAAATGTGGTAAACATGCAAAAAAACACATCAAACTTTAGTTGGTTAAATGGAACTTTCATGACGTGAAATCTTTATAATTGGAATATTTATTTGTTCTCCTGACATATTGTTATACATCAATTTTAAACTCTACAAATCGACTTTCTCCATATCTCTCTAACTAAAGATTCAAGTAAAGATTTTACTTAATAAATTGTCTGTTATCCGAATTTCTATAAAAGTTCTTCGGAGCATAAGTCGCAACAATGATCAACGATTCCAGTTTTTTGTTTGTTATGGTTTTGCATTTAAAGCAACAATCAGCAACAATACTGAACCAATTCTAGACTACGACCATCAACACCGAATATCGGGCACTATTCAAAATGCGGTAAGCACGCAAAGAACTATATCGAGAGTTAAAAAAGTTATACTGCATTTATTGGTTGAATTACAAGACACGTTTATTTTCAGACAAGAGGAAATTAGGTCGAAGTGTCCGTATCAGATATGCTTAATTGATTTTCTTATTATAGGCTATTAAATAAACAGATTCTGATAAAAAATGATTCGCTTTTTTTTCCCACTATTATGTTCTCGTATAACGGTACTTATAATTTACCGATTATTGTAAGTATACATTTCCTCTTCAGATTAAAAATGTACAAAGATCAAGATAAAAGTATATCTACATAAGAGCTGAATCAGCGAGGCTGGGTAAAAATAACATCGAAATGAGCTTTGCTACAAAAATTAATATGTACAGTGGAATTCGTTTATTATGACTCCGGCTATATTGACCAACCGTTTAATATGAAATAATTGCAGTGTTAAGTTTGGTTTTCATATAAAATTCTCTATAGAAAAGTTTGGATAAAATGACTCCGTTTAAAATGACATATCGTTTATTATGACTGATTCTCAAGAAATCATATCCGGCTATAGTGACCCAAATGATTAATAATAACATTTTCGCCCATTTTTCTAATCCTTATGTATATTAACATTACAATTCATCGCTCTTTTTTTTTCTGTTAAAAAATATATACAATTTGTAGTTTTTCTCTCTATTAAACTACATAACTAACCAAAATAGAAAGTTGTTTATTTTCTAAGACTATGCTTTCTACGACGTCCGCTTAGTATGACGTGTTTGTCATTTTCCTTCGATATCATTATAAGCGGATTCTACTGTAAAAGGATGATTTTTTTAAAAGACTTAAGTACGTATAAACAAGAGTGTGTTACGGTGAGTGTAATTAACTAGTGATTATTAACATTATTGCATTTTATTACGTTTAAAAAAAAGATGCGGAACGAATGGTTACACGGTTCTCGTGTTAGTAACTGAAACGTGCACCAAAGCAATAAAGATAATCATAAATTATTACAATTTTCCCCGCCTTTTTAACGAATTACTCACACAAAAAGACGCATGTTTTTTACCTTTAGAACTCCTGTATTGTTTGAGTCGGGGACAGGAAAAATGACCCATAAACCATTGTCATCGACACTAAAATCCATGTAATTATATTTTGAACTGTAGAGATAATTACTGTTGGCTTTTGCCAACGGTATTTCTACCGTAGATGTAATTTCTCGTTCCAAATCGAGTCTTACTATCCTTGACGTATTTCTTTCGTTATAGAAAAAGGACCCGTTAACAATAACGTGAGCGTTTCCTTGAAATGGCTGTACCAGGTTGAACTCTCTACAAAAATTTCAAAATTGCTATATTTAAATGGTCTACATATATTAAAAAATATTTCGTTGCGCCTAAATGCTGAATTTTAATTTGTGATTAATTTATGATAAAAATAATCTGCGAGATTAAATTATTACCTCGTAGGTGTATATTTTCTAAATGCATTTTTGTTGTCGTACTGGAATAATTTGGTAGTCTCGTTTTCTTTCGTGGTCCAAATTTTTTCAGAATCGTTTTCGTAAAGAGGATTAGGATCTTTCATCCAAGAACCGTAGGTTTCGTCCAGAAAACGATGATATACAGGTTTTCCGACAGCATAAAGTAAACAATCTAAAAATAGATGTGAACTATATAGACCTACTTTATAAAGACCCAAATGCTTATTTAGAGTTTATTCAGTCATCTTCGAAGAGTTCAGATAGAAAATAGTGTTTATTACTATATATATAAATGTTCGTTTAAAACTGCAAGTCGGATTTTCAAAAGTTTATATTATTAAAACGCCCTTGTAGATCGTCACGATAGGGACCAACCAAAGCGAAACAGTACCTAATCATCTTAAGATGATCAGACCAAAGTCCGAAGACTGGTTGGATACACACCTCCAAGTCCTTTTTATCTTGAACACAATATAAAGGAACTCGATACAGTAGGCAGAAGGGTCACTCCTTTGATCTAATTTAAAATGGTCGGCGTTTTTTGTAGGAGGTCATAAATCAACTTTATATGCGTTGAACTGCTATACCAAAGTGTATAGACATACTGTTGGAGCAGGACAGTCGGTGTATAACTTATCCTAGCTTCTGATGTACGCCAACTTAATATTGTACAGCTAGTTGGTGATTTTTCCTTTAATAAATTTTACACCCTTTTTTTTACTATTTAAGGATCGAGACTATTCACAATTAAAAATATGTACAACTAACTTTTCTGACTTATATTTAGTTATTATGTTAGAAAACTATGCTTCGCGTCCGCTGCAATCCTACCTGACATCTCTTTCTATGTTACGATATTCCCTACAACGTCTGTCATGAGTAAACGTAGGCGTTCTGTCAGCAACTAATCTAGTCCAGTCAATAAGTTGAAAGAAGAATGTAAATGTAACCGTTTTATTGCGGACTATGCCAATTTTGAATGTCTCAACTATATCTGGCTAAACCGCCGTGCAAAGACGCTAAGCAAGCAAGAATTTAGTAATTAGTGATGTCAGTGGTTTACCGAGTGTTCTGTTGGGAAGTCCCGCGTATCGTTCTCCCCCATACGGCCTTACTTCCCACCGTCTTATAATATCAAATAGAGAGACTCCAAACTCTTTATTGCATTTGAACTCTCTTGTGTCAACGCATTCGTCGCATTTAGGTGGCGGAGGACAGAGTTCTTCTAATGACGTTAGAGCAGGCGATGGCATTCCAAACACAATCATATGATTGTTGCCCACGATGGGCGGTGGAGTGCCCAGTCGAGGATCCTTCTCTGTAGTACATGAAAATATTTTACTCATTAGATTTTTTAAGCGATGATTTTGTGCATCGTATTAAAAAATTTTTAATTTAACTACATCCTTCGTAAAAACTTAACTTCCAAAAACGCACCAGTAAAAATATTTATTTTATCTTGTCGTATTTAATATTTGTTCAGACACGGCAAAATTCGCTTGTTTGCAAAAAATATACAATGTTCGAAAAATTCGTCGTAAGCGTGACGTTATTCACTGGTCCAGACGATTAAAGTATTTGTGAATGATTATTTTATTTACGGTAACACAGGCCCAAAATCGAGCAGAATGTTCTAGTGGCCTAGATCATAGCTCAGGATGTCATCTGGACTCTGGGTCCGCCTGCCCTAGTGGATTATTTAAGAAAATTTTGAGATAGTAATATTGCGTAGCAAATAATATTTCACTTCCCTTTTGTTTTCATTTCGTCCTTCCCATCCTTCTCTTCCCCATCGCCACCCACCCATACCTTTAAGAAGGCGGAATAAGACTAACGCGGTTTGCATCCTCACAAATTCCGCCGTGTTTGAACTAGCCCTTAATGAGTTACCGTAGAGTGTAAAGACTCCTCTGGTTAGTCCTCTTTCATTTTTAGCAACACAGAGGTACGTGGTGATGTCGTACGAATTAATTCGGGTAATATTTAATTGCATAGTAGCTTTATATCCGTTTTTATCGCTATAAGTTGCAATGCGATATTTGCTACCGTGTTCGAGGAGTTTGCCATCAGCCCTTTCCCAATATCTGCAAACAAATATTTAAAAGGAACTGCATTACTTTTCTAAAAGGACTTTTAATTCTATAATGAAAACTACGTTCTTAGGCTTTCACGGTCGCGTGTAGTCGAAGGTCGATGCGATTTTCGTTTCGCGATCTTTGCTGACGGAACCTTCAGTAGTGACATTATTAAGTCGTGATATCAATGAAGGATAGAGAAACGTTAGTACCATAAAATTCTATGAAAATATTTTTTAACGAGTTATTACCTACTGTTTAGTTGAGTTTTTGGATGCTTTACTAGGAAAATAACTAAAATGGTATCTTCGGGTGGTGATTTATCGGAACTGCTTATGGCGTGCTAATGAGGTCTAATAATTTTAAAATCGCGATCCACGACCGATAGTTTCGATGAATTATTAATCAAAAACTTATATTGTTCTTAAAAATTTAAAAAAGTTATTTCAACTTTAGAGTAATATTTTCTCCTAGAAAATAGACTAAAATCAGCCCGTGTCAGAACAGTTTCTTTATTAAACAATTTTAATAATAAAAAATTGAATGTTTAGGATGACGTACATATTCATAATATTGTAATTTATAAAAGTACCTGACGGCTT